TTAAACTAAATTAATTAATTAATTTATTTTTAGAAAGCAGGATTTGTTAAGAGGACAGAAAAGCTCCCACAGCAGGAGGGTACCCGAGGAGGTTGCTGCTTATGGTATTTTAATTACATACTCATAACAAATGAAATGTAATAATTTCCTAAGTCAGTTTCCTTTTAATAGAAAGATAATTAATCATCATTTTTCAGATGCACCTCCCATTGATACTCCCTCCCTCCACTAACTATTTTAGAGTTTTATATAAAATTCCAAGCAATGAGAAACATATCATAGTCATTTAGAACTGAAAGGATACTATAAAGATCTGCCTAGCCCTCTTTTTATTATATATATATATATATATATATATATATATATATATATATATAAAGAATGAGAAATTCCAAGATTTAACTCAGCCTCAATCTACTACATTTTTTAGTGCCTACAACATTTTATGTTGTAGGTAATAAATTTAGAACATAAATCCTATTGCGCTTATAAATAAGGTCCCTTCTCAAATACCTATTTAAGTTGGAGGTAACAAAAGGATACAGTTAATTTTCAAAGTTACTTGAGCCATAACTTCAATTTTTTTAAATAAAATATTTAACCTGAGAAATTTAACAAAAGATAGGTACTCTAAAATTTAACTCATTAACTTAAATAAGATGGAAACCTAAGATAAGTAAGGAAATTCTTTTTGAATTCTGATTTTTATAAAACCATTTTTAAAAAGTCAGCAGTAGGCTTATTAGGCTTGGAGAGCATTCAGAAACCAATGAAAAGGGTTGTCAACTAAAAGGCCTTAAGAGCATTTTAATTAAAATTAAAATCACTGACAAAAAAGGACAAGAGTCAAACCATTTGTAACTACATCTCTCATGTATCAATAGTTTCACAAAATCGTGCTCTGAGAGTGAGTACAGCCAGAATGTGGACATAAAACTTTTTATGATGAATAAAATATAAGGTGTTTAAAGATTGAGATTGGAATCATAAAAAAAAGGCAAATGAAGAAATTTCATCTTAATACATTTGCATTTTTCTATTTGAATTTTTGAAACAATAAAAAATAATTTATAAAACACTGGCTTATCATTTCCAGCTATGTTTTACATTACTTTTATATCTGGCAAGAATTTTAAATCTCTTAACTCTATAAATGATATAGAAAATATATGTACTTATGTAATGATCATTTTGTCTTTTGGGGCATCCTTGAATGCAGGTACATACATACACAGCATGAACATGAACTGCCCTGTTCAAGGAGAGGGGAATTCTGAGTGTATTTATTTTATCATTAAGGTATTTCTTCTAATAGTTAAAAAAAATTGCAAAAACAATTGTTAGCAATGTAGCAAAATATTCACAAAATGGAAATGTGATCTTTGAATTTTTATGAGTCATGGAATTATTCTTATACCTGAGAAAAAAGAGAATTTTCTCTTTTTAAAAAATCACTAAACTACAAACTTTTCACCCTTACCTGAGTAGATATATTCTTACACCTAAGCATCTAATGGCCAACATTTAATATAAATTATCACAACAAATTTTTTAAAAGCATATGAATAAAACATCCTTTGAACAGTGTATATGACTTCTGTTATGTAGTGAAAGTGATCTTTCAAATAACTTAAATTATACTTAATTTCAAAATATTGACTATAATGATTCTCTATTAAATTTCATAATTATAATCAAGATAAAAATATGTCCTCAGCCGGGTTCGGTGGCTCAGCCTGTAATCCCGCGCCTTTGGTAGACTGAGGTGAGTGGATTGCCTGAGCCCACGGATTTGAGATCCGCCTGGGCAGCGAGACCTCATCTCTACAATAAATCAAAAAATCAGCTGGGTGTGGTAGCACATGTCTGTAATTCCAGCTACTTGGAAGGATGAGGCGGAAGGATCGCCAGAGCCTAGCAGGCGAGGCTGCGGTGACCGGGAGCGGCCACTGCACTCCAGTCTGGGTGACAGAGTGAGACTCCAACTCAAAAAAAAAAAAAAAAAATTTCCTCAGGGTCATAGCATTTAGACAAAACTAAATCTCAGCAGGTATATTTATAAAAAATTAGAGAGAGAGATAGGATCATTTGAGTTTTGAAAGAAATCAATTCAAGGTATATTTCATTTGCCCTCTTTTCTCCTTGTAAGCATCCACATAGCAAGTTATTATCTTTTTAACACGGGGAAACAGTGTGTGCTTTCTATTTTCTTAGGCTGCCTTCTCATCAACTTAAATATCCTCGGCTTGTGCTCAGGTATTTTTCAAGTCAAACCTGACTTGAAATGCAAGAAGGCAGTCCTCACAGCTGTTTTTTTTTCAAGTTTTGATCTCTTGCCATGCAACTGCTTCATAAGGTCAAAACCCCTCAAAGCTTTGACCTGAATAGCAATCAAACTCGCAGTCACACAATGTTCTTTATATGAGCACAATCAGATGCTTTGTCATTGCAGTCACAATTCCTATACACTGCCTCACAATAATGGGTTTTAGCCATTATGAGAACTTTGCTTGATACCAATCATTTAAAATAATTTTAAACAGTTGAGTATATAGTGTGAGCAGTCATTTATGAAACTGATTTTTCCACCACAAACATGCTAGAATGTATGCATACAGGTGAGCTTTGTTCTTCAAAGTCACAACTTTACAGTACACATTCTAGGAATTCTTCTTATGTAATTGTGACTAAGCTTAATTTGATATTGACAAAATAAAATCAATTGCTTTCATACTTATATGATATTATTTATCTGTTCTTTTTATCTCCTTTTAATTTATCTTTCCCTGGATAACTCTATTTCTGTCTTCCCAGGAACTCAAAAATCACTAGCAAAATATTTGGATTGGCCCTATGACAGCATACTTTTGGGAATGTCAATGAGAAAGGCTCAAGTTTAGTGTTCCGGAAAACAAGTTGTATAATGCTAAGTCCATTTATTTGCTCTTGGTCTAAAATAGGAGTGTACAACTGTTTAAAAAGGAAAATAAAAAGAAATTATAGTGAACCACAAAAACCTCCAGACTCACTAAACAGTGTGACTTGCATATCAAGAGCACCTTTTTTCCCCTCAAAATGTTTTCATGTTTATGGCTTTATTTTATCCATATCACTTCCTCGTTAAAAAGTAGAAAGATACGTGCTGTAATGTATGTTTTATTACAGAGTTTTAAAAGTTGGAAAGTAAGAAGTTAAGTATATTGCTTAGGTGGTGGTCTCATAACTTTGAGGTCATTTGCTTTATCATCAACTAGAATAATAAAACCTGTAACATTTTGATAAGATGTACAAACTTCATCAAAAAAGCATCCACATTCCAAGGAAATGAGCATATTTAAATACTGCATTCCTACAGATGTCATTGCCTTTTAATTCAGTGATTTTAAAAATATAGTCTACAGATTACCCCAAAGGCTTAGTGGTGATACAGATTCCTTGGTCCTTATTCTGGCCTACTAAGTGAGATTTCCTGAGTATAGGTTCCAGAAAATCTCACTCATTCATCAGCTCCCCAGGTTATTATGCGGACTCAAGTTTGAGAACTGCTGTATATAATGCAAGTCAACCAGATCATGACCTATTGTTAATAGTTACACCTCTATAGATCTATTCCTTAAAGATGATGCACTTCAAAACGACTTTCTTTATCAAATAATGCCAATCCTTCTCAGTATGGTAACTTACCATTTTATGACAGCAATAACCTATGAAACCAATGGGTACCAAGTGGAATAATATTGTTGGGGCAAAAATATCAAATTTACTAATGTCTCACAGGCAGATTACATATAACAAGAGGAATCATGTTCTAGTAAAATCACTGTAGACCAATTAACTGCTAAAATACACTTAAGGAAAACAAATGGAGCTTTCATTATCATCTAATGATCGTATGGGAAATGATTGTAATTTATGCTCATATTCCTTCAGATTTTAAGGAATTTTAAATGTGAATTGGGATTTAAAAATTAAAATTTATTAAAAAGAAAATTTATCAAGTTTATTGATAATTGAAATTCATATATGTTGGCTGATAAAATTGTTTTATAAAACATTTCCTAAGTACTACTTATCAGATGTCAAGTCTCAAGAAAACAAATTCCCTGCACTTGTCTCTCAACAGAGAAAACATTTTTCTATAATCTACTGAATGTTTTAATTAAATTGCTTTAAATTGCTGTAATCACGTGTATGCATAGTATGTTGAGCTATGAATTGTGAGCAATTAGCAAAAGTTAGCCCTTATAATGCAAAACTAGTGGCAGAATATGTTAAATACTATTATACATAATGTTTACATCTTGAATGGCTACCCATTCTTCCACCATCCAACATATCAAACAACAGAAGTTTTTACTTTTAAAAAACCTTGCATTCTGTAAATTACTAAAGTTTTAAAATTTCTAAAAATAAAATCACATTACTACATTACAAATGCAACTGAAATTTTTAAAGTCTACAGTCCCAATGCATAAGTATAAATAAGTCACATTCATTATTTTATGGCAGAAAAAATCAGATCATCATTTGCATTAATAAAAAAAGACTTCAGAGAAATCAAAGAATGTGGGCTCTATTCTTGCTCCTAATCGTCTTGGACAATTTAATTTTCTTCCCCAAATTTTATTTTTCTCAAGAGTAAAAAGTGGTTGACTAATTGCCTTCATGATTCTAGAAATCTGTTTTGGGGTTAGACTGTGATGCTACAGTTCCCCCAGCATTTTGTCTACCTTTTCTAAGTCACTCAGATTTCCAACATTATTAGACTGGAAGGGATTATAGTCTAGGGCAGTAACTAGTTCAGTCAAAAAGCACTCATTCTTCCACTCTCCCCCATTCTCCGATAACAAGACAGACAAGAGGGTCATGTTTATACTCAACCGAATATTGGGCAAAAACCAGTCCAGTGATTTCTTTTGTAGGATTATAACATTGTTCTCTTAGTACGAAATTCAAAAATCTCCAGAATAATCTATAGTATGGTAATTGGTTTCACTAACCTGTGCTGAAGATTTTCCAAGTTTTTGGACTAAATTTTCCCAACGCTGGGCGAAGTTTTCAAGCCATGCTTCCATCTTTTGAGTCACTGACTTATTTTTCAGTGTTGAAAGAAGATCGTGATTGAGTGAATAGAGTTTGTCCATAGTTTGTTTTTTCTTTTCTAGATCTGCTTTTAAGACCTGTTAAAACAAACAAACCAAAAAAGATCACAGAATAAGTCTAGTTAACATTTTATAAAACACTATAGTTCAATCTGCTTTTGCATGTATTTGCTTGTTTGTATAGATAAGATTGCAATCATGCTTGCAAATGCCCATAAAAATATAGGCAGAAAATTATAATGTAAATAATCTCGCCAAGAAGCTTGAAGAAAAAAGAAAATCATATGTGGAATAAAAACCTCATAGAGGCACTTAAAATATTTGAAAGACAGCCAAATGAAAAGGTAGTGTTGCTTTAGAGGACAAAACAGATCAGCATGTGGAAGTCACTTTTTAACATTGGGAGACGGAATGCATGGCTCTTGAATGATAGTGAAGTTTCCTTTCTTTTTTTTTTTTTTTTTTTTTTTTGAGTTAGAGTCTCACTCTGTCGCCCAGACGAATGCAGTGGCCGCTCCCGGCCACCGCAGCCTCGACCTGCTGGGCTCCGGCGATCCTTCCGCCTCAGCCTTCCAAGTAGCTGGAACTACAGGCACGCTACCACGCCAGGCTCATTTTGATTTTTTTTTTTATTGTAGAGATGGAGGGCTCGCCAAGTTCCCCAGGCGGGTCTCGAACCCGCAGGCTCAGGCAATCCACTCACCTCAGCCTCCCAAAGGCGCGGGATTACAGGCTGAGCCACCGAACCCGGCTCCTTTAATTCTTGATAGAATTCAAATGAAAATTGATAATCAAGTGCCAGGAGGACTAGATAAAAGCTAGTGAGTTGAGAAGATGAGAATGTCTAAGGAAACTTGCCATTCTGAAATGCTGTGATTATCTGAATAAAATTGCAAAATTACTTATTTATACAATATTAATATTCTATCCATTATTTGGAGGTAAAATCCTTGTGTGGTTTATTGACCTTAACATTTTTGCAGCATCTATTATTCAATTAACATTTGGATGGTTGAGGTATTATTTTCTAAAGCTAATTTTGGAGTCCACTAAGTGAAAGAACTAAATCATCAAATATGATGAAATTCCTTCAGAATCTCCTTGCATATTTTCTAAATACTTATGTGTTTTTGAAGTAATTCTGATACCATTTATATCTCCAAATATCCTGCAATCTTTGAAAGGTTACACACATCCTTTGATGGATTTGGGATGCATAAACAAAGTGGATTATGTGAAATCTGCAGATAGTACAGTTTATTATTTTCTTATTCATTAAGGTAGCGCTGTACATAGGGAAATACAATTCTCCAGTTACCAAACACTAGTCCGTACTTTAACTCATAAACACAGAAGAATAAAAATAAAGGAAGGAGAAAATCATTTTCCAGTCCCTTTAAGACTCCATCATTTTGGAAGTAACAAATACAATGAATGTAAACCAAACTGTGGTTACCTGATTTTCCAAAACAAGGCAAGTTTATTTAAGAAAAACTAACATTCCATATGGCAAAAAAAAAAAATTGTCACAAAACAGATGCACCACTTGCCCATGAGACAAAGTGTCATTGACACAGAGCAGTCAGTATACCTCCCTGCAAAGGACAGTTTATGTAGCTCATTTTGGTATGCCACCTGCATTGATATCTCTGAACTGCAGAATGCTCTGGTGTCTCCTTCAATTAGTTTGTCCTTTACTAAGAATCTGCTTTATCTGATGTATTTTATATTGCAGCCTTCATTCCATTTTTAAAGGGAAAAAAGGCAAGTTTTAATGTTCACTTCTAATTTTTTCTCAATAATTACTTCACTATTTCTCTCAGTTTGAAAGAATGCAATAGACCAAAATGTGAATCAAGATATTATAGGTTGAACTCATATCAAAATAACACTCTCAGTGTGGGAGTTTGGCAATAGATAGGTTTCATATATCCATGGTTTTTTTTAAATTCACATGCTAGCTTTCCATGCAATTTAAGTGCATATTTGCATTAGTATTAGCTGAGAGTCTAGTGTGATTTCAAACTATATTCCTCCAGTTACTTTATGGAGTCTCATTTTACTTTTTCCTTATTAACTTTTGTCATGTATTTATTTTGCTGTAGGTTTCTACAGTTCTTTATGAAAAGACGCATGATATAAATAAAGACATGCACCTAAAAGTAAAATCATGTAAGTACAATCTTCTTTGGCTTACTTTCTCAGAATGTAAGGAACGGTTTTATGTGGCCAGATATGTAAGGCTATAGGGTATACTCATTATTTAAGCTAAATATATAATGACTTAGAAACATTTCAGAACAGGATTGTGAGTTTTGTTCAAAGGAGAGGACTGCCATGCAAATCTATGGGTAAACTCGTATTTCCAAAACAAATGAAAATATGCCTTCTATGTCAATATTAAACCAGGTAAAGAAGCATTCAATTAGCATTACAAAAATGAAAGTGAAAGTCACCATTAAAAAATACAGTTAGGAACAGTATACATAAGGTAAAATAGTATTATAATGAAATTGTGTAGTTATGTAATGAACATATTTTTACATAACTTTACATGACCAAAACACTGAATGAACTCAAACTTCTACCCAGTAAATTCCAGACATGAGTTATTTGTTTTTTAATGGTGCTGGCAGATAAATTGTTCAATCTCAATCCCTGTCTCTCTCTCAAACCTTAGTTCCCAGAGAACTCTCCCAGAATAATTAGCAGAGGAAGGATAGGAAAGGAAAATCATGGCATTGCTAGATCATTGGCCATAGCAATGAATTTAATCTTGCTGTCTATCCTTGGATGTCAATTCTTTCAAGTTTAATACTTACACATGCATATTAAATAACTATGCTTTAATTGTTACTAATTATTGTATAAAATATGTATTTTTGTATATCAAAAATTTATCAAAAAATCTGAGTGACAGAGAACTACAAAGCTGCAAAAACTTCACACACCAATAGGAAACTAGAAAAATTGGATAAGGCAAAGGTCACCTGGAATATTCAAAAAAGAATTACATTTTATTTTCATAGAAACAAGGCACCTGAACCTACCTCCAAGGTTAGCAAGAAAGCATTGTCAATAAATTAGATTGGGTCAATAGTATATTTGGGGAAGAGACAGATATACTGTTCCAGAAGACAGTAAACAAATTCTATCTGGCCAGGGTTTGAAGATGATTTGAATTTTTTAAAAAGTATACTTACAATAGACCCAGAAAACCTTCACGCTATTCTCATCATGTGTATGCATCACAGAATAATACCAAGACAGTTAATCTTATACTGGCAAATTGGATTTTGTGCCTATATCATCTATAGTTACTTATCTATATGTAAGAAGTACTACAATTAATTCTGGTCATTTATCCATTTCAGAAGTTCTCAATTTGAGAAAAAAAAAAAAAAACAGAATAATATGAAAGACTTGTTAAAAAGTAGATTACTGGCCTCCACCTCCAAAGTTTCTGAGTCAGAAGGTCCGAAGAGGGCCTAAGAATTAGCATTTTAGACTAGTTTCAAGTGATGCTGCTGCTGGTGGTCTGATGAATATACTTTGAGAACCACTAAATGTATTTAGATGAATTATTTGAGGACCATCAGAGGAGTTGAGATCCAGGCAGCAAGTCATGGTAAAACAAAGAATGTCAGCAGGAAGTTACTGAGCTCCCATAAGTACTTCTACCATGTCATTTGAGCCCACCACTGCTAGAGAATATCTTCAATTCCACAGTACTCCCATAGCCCTTACACACCATACTCTCTTGAATCACCATTCTTCCCCAGAGTTGGTTGCCATGAAAAACATTGACAATCCTCAAATTCACAGTATACTTCCCTAGAACAAACTTCTTCTCTAGTCTTGGGTCTTCCCACGATGACTTACATGATTCTACAGTCATAAAATTTATCTCATAAGAACTACTGTTACTTCTATCCTTTAAGCTTTTTCCTTTATGCCAAATAGAAAATCAGTTTTGATTATTTTTTTTAAATAGACTAAGTGATATGGATATGAATCCCACAGAACTAAAGGAAATGAACTACCCTAGTCCCTACCTCTTACTCCAATGTAAAGTAAGAAACAAACCCATAGGTTATCAGTGATAATATTTCAAAACAAATTACACTGATTGTGAATAAAAGAGAGTTTTAGCACAGTGTATCTATAGCTAGGTATGAAGTAGGAACTGGTGACAGATGGTACCTGTTTTGGGTCTCAGATTGTGACATATTTTAATGAACATTAAATTCTTATTCACTGCCTGAGTCAGCAGGGGAATTTTACCTCAAATTCTAGACCAGCTGTCAGGTTTTGTTAATTGGCTTAAACTATCAAATGATAAGACTTATACAAAACATATTTTCTCTTTGTTCACAAGTGAGGTGACATACTGCAAATTTTAATCATACGGGAAAATTATTGAGACTTTGCTAAGAGAGCATTTTTATGGCCCTAAGGCTAACAAAGTCATTTACTCAAAAAATGTCAACATAGTGGCACATGATTACTAGAATGACAGTTCTCAGTTGCAGTTACTTTTTTCCAAGAGATCAAATGATATGAGGAGCTTTGAAATAAATAAATAGCTTGAAAGACTGGGACCTGAGTCTGGATGTCTTAGTGCTCATTTTAAGTTAGCCATTAATATTATATGATAACTTATAAAGGTCATATGATTTTTATGACCTCAATTTCCTCTTCTGATCCCAGGGAACTTGAGACATGTAATTGGTTTGGGGATATACTAGATGATATACAAGATCCCCTTAAACTTTAAGATATTTGGAGTTGTCAATTTGTAGCTTTCTAAGCACAACTTTCCTGATTGGTAAGTCCAATCAACGATATACAGAGTAACCTCCACTAAGTATTAGAATTTGGAATTTATTATGAAAAATAACTTTGTAATGCTCTGGCATATGGTATTTTCCGACGATGGCTGTAAAAAAACGTGTCTCAGATGTTCTGCTATAATTTGACCTTGGTGCTTCACTATGAAGAGATAAAGTCTAATTCCTTTTCCTTGAATAGAGGCAGGCTTGTAATTGTTTCAGCCAACAGAATATGGTCTCTATCAAAACTATGATTGACTGTTTGAAGCATATGGTTCTGCATTTAGCCAACAAGATAACTTGGCTCTTGATAGAGAGCATGGCTACATTTTGAAATTTAGTGGTCACCAACTTATTTACTGAAATAATCCATATTTTTCCTAAGAAGGACAATGTTTGTAAGGAACTTTCTACTTTAAGAATATGTAGCCTATGCAACTTTTCCTCTAGATATGATAAAATCTGTAGTGAATTCATCCTCTCTTCTCTGTGGATATGTGACAGAATGTACCACTCTCTAACCTTTTGAAATATTTATTCACCTCATTTTTGTGAGATCACGTTTTTCCTTCCTTCTCCTTGTATTCTTGAATCACATTTACTCAGTCTCTTTTTGTAAACTTATTTTCTTCTGATCACTCCTTGATTATAGATGCCTCCCCTTCCCGGTTTCTAGCCCTTTCATTTACTGTGTCACTCTACACAGTCCCTCAGAATCATCTTGATTGCTTCTGAATTGATAAACAATTGTGAAACCTTTTCTGAGATTCTGGTATGTATACCTAGGTGATTAACAGAATGGATTTTTCATTTGGATGTCTCAAAGACATTTTAGACTCAACCTATTCAAATCAGAAATAATTATTCTTTTTATTCCAACAACCATTATTCTCCTCTCCTATCAGGGATATTACCTTTCTAGAAACCCAGTCATCCAATTTAAAAGTCTGTGAACAATTTTAAATGTATATCTCTTACCATAAGTTTTATTCATTCTATCTTAACAATTCTCCTATCTCTCTTTTGATCTCCATACCCAATGCTACTTAGTTCAGGTTTCTTAACTCATTATTTTAATATAATATATCTAACTATCAGAGTATTAAAACTACAAATATGATTATTAAACTCTCAATGGTTCCCTATCAGCTGCAAAACAAAATTGTACATATATTCAATATTATTGCACTCACTCATGTTTTGAAACATATATAGATTACTTTTCTGAACTCTGTCTTTAGAAGTCATATCACTCAAGAGAGCATATTTTCTTTGAGCAATAATTTCTTATCAATAATAAACTAGTTGTAATAACAAATAATACAAAAGTAAGTATATTTGAAATTAAAAGATCAGTGAGGGCTAGTAAATATGAAGCAAAAAACAGTATGGCAAAATAAATATTTGGTAAAATGGTACATACATAAAATAACTGAAAAAATTACTTAAGTTTAGTTTGAAAGGAATAATTTAAATATTATACACTGTAGTGCATAATATCAATACAGATATAAATAAATTCATCGAGGTAAAATTATAAAATGTTGTTTATAATAGATTATTTTATAATAGTTAACATTAAGTTAGCATTCAATAGAATTGATCTATTAAAATTTAAGGAGGCTGGGTAGAGTGGTGGACAGATTGCTTGAGTCCAGGAGTTTAAGACTAGCCTGGGCAACATAGCAAAATCTCATCATTACAAAAAAAAAACTGGACCTTGTGATTCATGTCAGTATTCCCAGCTACTTGGGAGGTTGAGGCAGAAGGATTGCGTGAGCCCAGGAGGTCAAGGCTTCCATGAACTATGATTGTGATGAGCATGCCTCTACACTTCAGTCTGGGGAACAGAGAGAGACTGACATTAAATTAAAATTTTTAAATTCTAAATGGAAATATTTTATTTGAAAAATTAGGCTCCTAATATTAGATCTCCCCTTTACTGAAAAATAACTAAATTCACAGAGTAAGAAAAGCTTATGTTTTTTTAAAAAAAAATCTTGTAAGGTCCAACTGAAACCAAATGTTTCAGTGAAGCCTTCCCTGAAATTCTTTCTACTGCCAAAAAATTTTATTTTTCAAAACACATGAGACACTTATAGTCAATGCCATTTGGTTGGCTTTAATATGTTTTATTTTATGCCAAACTAGGGATAAACTTCTTATATGTGAAGAAAATCATTGCTTGTACCTTTCGTATGTTACTCTGAGAATAAGCTTTAGTCTATTAGTTTAGAATAATGCTGCTTAGATCTTTATGGAAGGCTCATGATATTTTTTAAGTATTACTTTTTTCACAATTTAAGTCTTATGTCCCTATGTTATATTATTTCAAGAATATAGTTTTGTTTGAAAAAACAAAATTGAAAACAGACCTACTGTTTTTCTCATTTTGATATTGTAACATTATAACATCGTTGAAAAAAATCTGTGACCTAAGCAAAAAATAATGAACATTTGTTTTAAAATTTCATAACATAGAAAAGACTAAACAATCATGATAATATACGTATATACTACTGGGTGTTTAAAAAATGTTAAAAACTAAAAACTACATACAGTCAGTTTTTGAAGAGTTGATAACATTTCATTTTGATCCTTAAAGCCAGTTATGTCAATCTTGTTCATTGCATCTTCTTTTTCTGAAAGCCACGCACTATAAAGGCACTGAAACAAATCAAAGAAAAAATTAATTTTTAAACATAAATCTTACTTAGTTGTTTTCTGATTTAAGATCTCTTCATGCATTTCATTGCTACAATTTTCCCTACATGGCTCACCTGTTCTTCAGTAAAACGTTGCCATTTGAGAAGGATGTCTTGTAAAAGAGCCCAGCGGTCTTCTGTCCACCTACAGATGTTAGCCCACCGATCTCCCAATACCTGGGGAAGAGACAACCAACCACCACATCAGCAAACAATTCATTGTTAACGAAATTCATTGAAGCTGTGGATAGTACAGAACTCTATATATACTATACACAAATGTTTTTCCTTCTTCACAATTTCATGGATAGAAGACTTATTCTTTCTGTAGATCTTACCAACCTCAGCATAAGTTTTTAATCTTATAAAGTCGAGAACATTCACCTTTTCTTTTAAAGAAATCACTTTGCAGGTTCTTTTGGCATATTAAAACAGCCATCATCAATACCCTTGTGATTTGGGGCCATGGGTAAATAAAATAATGATCACAAGCAAAGCAATACTGCAAAAATTGATCTGAAGTTGCGAGGGCTACTCAGTAACAGGTAGGTTGCATAGACAGCATGGAGGTGCTGAATAAAGGGTTGATTCAGCCTCTAGTGGGACAGAGGAGAATGGAGCATGATTTCATCATCCTACTCAAAACAACACACAGTTTAAAATTCATTAATTGTTTATTTCAGGAATTTTCCATTTAATATTTTCAGACCACAGTTGACTGTCAGTAACTGAAACCAAGAAAAGCAAAAAAAGTAGAGAGTGGAAGACTACTGTGATTAACTATCTTTTAGATACATTATCAACCCACTTAAGACAATTATTTTTAAAATGTCACTATGGGTGTCCTTTGTATCTGAATAATTATTATAGGTATTTTAATAATTCATTGATGCTAGTTTATGATTCAGCCAATATTTAGGCTTTAATTAATGATAGCTGCCAATTCATGCATTCATTGATCATTAACTTACTTAAATAAGAAATATTTATAAAACATATACATGTGCCAAGTATAAATCAAACAAAGATTATATGGCCTAAATTGTAACCCCAAATCTCATGTTAAACTCATACCTCACCTACCACTTCAGAATGTAACAATTTTAAGATGGTAGTAAGTTAAAATGAGGCTACTAGGGTTAGCTCTAACCCAATCTGATGGGTGTTCTTATAAGAAGAGATTTTTGTCAAAGAAAGACACCAGGAATGCTTGCACACAGAGGAGAGACCATGTGAGGACACAGAAAGAAGGATGTCATTCATAAGTCAAAATGAAAGTCCTCAGGAAAAAAGAAAAAAAAAGAAAAAAGAAAAAACCCAGCCAATACCTTGATCTTGAACTTCTTGCTTTCAGATGGTGAGGAAACAAGTTTCTATTGTTTGTTTTTTACAAACTTTTTTTTTAATTTTAAAAATGTGGGGTACAGTTCAGTGTTAGGTACATACGTGGTCATCATGCATGTAAAGTGTGGGTACCCTTATTGATGTTATGTGCCCACCTCCACCCCTGACAGTGTCCCACTACTGCCAATCCCTTCCTTATAGTATTGTGATAAATGTTCAGGTTCTACTTATGAGAACATGTGGTACTCAGATCTGTGTTTCTGTGATAAATCACTCAGTATTATAAACTCTAATTCTATCCAGGTTGCTGTGAAATTCATAATCTTGTTTTTCTTTATGGCTTCATAATATTCCATCATGTAAATGTACCACATTTTCTTTATAGAATCCACTTTAGATGTGCAGCACAGTTAGTTCCAAGTTTTAGTTTCTATTGTTAATGTCACTCAGTTTATGACATTTTTAATAACAGCTCTAACAAACAAATAATATAAAAGGAATTTAAAATAGACTGATTTTTTTCAGGAAATGTATAGCTAAATCAAAAAATGTTTATCAAAGAAAATAATAATACTAACCCCTTAATAATTTCTAGAGATATTAAACAAGATTATGTATTGGAAAGTGTTTCTAATTTGAAATGAGTTATATATATTTTGGTGATTATTTATATTTTGTTTTATCATTTTTTTTATATCAAATCTTTAAAGACCCACCAAGGGTCATCCATTTTATTCTATTCGCTCTGAAAAGTCACTCACTAAATCTTTACAAAGATATGTTTAGTTTTCAAGTATGTGCTTTAAAGATTTCCAACACAGGAGAGTATAGATGTCCCTTAGAAACACATGCCATTGTAGCATTGCTTGAATCTTTCTTACTCCCGGAAAACTCTCAATGAATTGAATCTAAGTTACTTCTGTTGCAATGTAGGAATATTGTTTTTTACTAATCTCAGTGTAATTAGATGAGTTAATTAGAAATTTCTTGCTCGTACACTACACACATCTGCCCACAGATAGATTTTTGCAATGACATATGCGCAAGTATAAATAGATGTACATGAAGTGTTTGAATTTATGGATGTATCTATTTATTGCTTAGAAATATTGGTCTTAATTTGAATTACAAAGAATGAAGCAAAGCAATTAGAGGTATGTCCATCGGTCATGGAATCACTCAAAAATGCTGGCTCTTATCATTACCTGAATGAGTGTAACCAAATTGTTAGGCAGGCACAAGGAATTGGATGAAATGAGACTAGGAGGAAGCTAAATATTTTTTAAAGAATCACTATATTATGATTAGAAAACACTTCTCTAGAGAAAAAAAGTGTATTAAACTCAGTGTTTTTCTAGCATATATTCAACTCAGTGTTTTCCTGAGTTTTTATTTATATATAGGAATTCTTTTAACTTTCTGAAGTAATGCATATTTTATAGAGCTTTATAAACATTATACACATAAGTGCAAAATCAATGAATTATGATGTCTCCTGAAGTGATAAGATAAATTAAATTTTATTTATGTTCTAATTTGTCTCAGCAGTAAGAGAAGCTAAAGGTCAGTTCAATTCCTCCAACATATTTTCATGAAATAAATCACAACTCTATTATCATCCATGCTTAAATCCACGATGGGGCGGACTTTTCCCTCCCATTTAATTCACATCTCATATTGTTATGTGTGCCAAGGACATTTCTCATCCGAATTCCTTTGTTTGGTTGAGTTGGCTTTTTTCAAGCAAGGTGAAAAATGGCTACCACAAGAACATGTGGATAAAGGTAACTGAAGAAAATCTGACGAGCATCCTTGGAGGTAAAACTTAAGTACAGTGATCCTTGAATTAATGGAAGCCAGTGATAGAATATAAGAGCTAAACTATACCCTTTAGAATTGGCATTAAGAGGAAAAATGTTCCTGGGTGTATGTCCACTAAGGTAGAAACAATTACGTGTCATGGACTACACAATGCAGCAGCAACTGGGTTTTATAAGAGTTTTTTATTTTATTTTATTGTAGTTTATAACTCTATAATACACTCCCCAGCTAAAAGAATTTCATGTGTAATGAGTCTTCTCAAAAATAACTTATTTCTTCATATTTTTTTCTTACTTTACAAACAATTATGCAGTTGAAAAGGATAAGCAACTTTATCTTACCGATGGTAAAATTGAAATCACATCAGATAACTTATTGAAAAAATAAATACAAACCATTATTAGGAGATAAATGTAGCAGAGAAATACTGAATTATGTTCAGACAAGTCTATGGCCCTGTTTTCAATTTTACATGTTTTTAAAAACTATTAACTGAAGCAGCATACCTTATACCTTTACTGTCTAACATACAATCTGGGGTGGAAAAATGTATTTTGATGTACTGGAAAACACATATTGGTAGTTCTATTACGATAAGAAGAAAAAATCATTCTTAATTTTGTTTAAATTATTCTATAATACCTCCCAACTGGACTTAGGAAATTCATGACTCACTTCTAAAGATTCAGTTTAAAGATGAGGAAACTGACACTCAGATTGGTTAAGTAACTTGCCGAAGGCCACAGAGGCCAGAGTATTATCTGAGATTTGACCTCAGACCCATGTGCATACAATCCTATGTTTTTTCAAGATACTATTTACTCAGGAGAGAACCCAACATAAAATGTATGCCTTTTAATTTCGGTTACATAACCTAAACCTACAGCAAGATGTACCGATGCTAAATCCCTTCTGAGTTCTTTCATATTTTATTTTAGCAAAAATTTGACTAGATTTAAACTATTTTATCTACTATACTTGACAAGGATTTGAAGGCTAATGTTAAAATTTGATCTAAAAACATATTTGACATTATAACTCCATATTTGCTTAGTTATTTAAAAAGTGAGAAAATACTTGTACTCCCAGATTAAGAATATGGACCCATGCCAGGGTTTATTATTGAAAGGTAAATTTGATGTTCTGATTTGTTAATGAAATTCTACCTTGGCGATTATGCTGAAAATGTAGTGAGATTTAAACTTAAAGAAGCATGTTCTTCTGTACACAGTTTCAGTCAGTTTCATATTTATTTTTATGAGCGCATAAAGTGCTAATGAATAAATCTGGAAATGCCCTTTTGTTGTTGCCATTGCTGTTATTATTTTCAGGCTATTATTTAATGTTCTGTGGCAGCTTAATAAACTCTGTACTCTCCAGCTCCCACCAGTCTATTCAATTGGGATATCAGAAAATAAAGAGCAGGAATCCTAAGGAGAATTCCAGTATAACAGTGTTCTTTCTGACATTCATCACATTCCCAGACATTCCCTGGTGACTTGAGGTTTTACTCTTCCTTATTGTTTTATGCCTCAGACTGTGAACTCCTTGAGGAGAGCTCCTTACCTTTGAAGTTAATATCTTGTTGAGTAATACATGCATTTTACACAGTGTACTGGTGTCTCAAAGCTGAACACTACTACTGTAGTTAACAATATGGGACTTTTTTTTCCTATTTTTTTCCTAGGACTATCTTTTGGTATCTTTAAATCTGCTTGACTATACTTAAAGTATAGACCACCCGAAATTTTGTCCCAGCTCTACTGTTGCCTAACTTAGTAACGTTTGGGGGCATACTCTTAATTTTGCTGTGCTTTCGTTTTTCCACTAGTGAAATGGAGATAATAGTAGCTTCCTTGGTAACTGCTAGGGTCAGATAGATCAATAAATGTGAAAGTGCTCTGAAACGGTGAGGAATTATTTAGATTCCTATGATTAGTAAAGGTTTAGAGGAAGTAAGATGATAGAAAATCAGCCTTTATTCCAGATGTGATAAACCTGGAATATAATAG